TTCAATTCGTAGATCATATCTTCTGCTGTCTTTGTTGCTATCAACCATACATTGCTTGCTGAAATTTTTTGTGCATAGTAGAACGTAAGTATATTACGACCCCGTGGTTCTTCGGTTTAAAGAGAGTATGAATTACATACTTGAGTGGAAAACGATCCTATAGTACAACCATCCTTATATGAGTATTCTTTAAAATATTTGCAACATCTTAGCCATTACAATTCCGACATGGATAAATAATAAGACGTAAAAGGACGGTTTTCAACTTGACATTGCTTTTTTTTTTAACTATCTTCACCACTCGGCAGATTTTATTGTTTTTAGCAGCGATGATTAGAATTCGAATAGAACCTAAACACATGATGAAAGTGAATGTGTACATTTTCTTGTAGTAGAGCTTATCCTTATATAAATATTTTTTTGGAAAATTTGAACCATCTTATCCATTAAAATACCGACAAGTATGGATAGACAGGCCTGCAATAAGACACAGAGTCAAAAGGACAGTTTTTCACTTGACACCGTTTTTTTTAACTACCTTCAATCCTCGGCAATGTTTACTGTTTTAAAAAGTGATTATTAGAATTGGAATAGAACATAAACACACGATGAAAGTGAATGTGTACATTTTTTTGGTTCTTGAAAACTTATATAATAATATTAACCAATATTTATTTGAATGTTAATTTACAAGAATATGTTTCTATTTGCAATATTCTCAAAACTAACACAACTAAAACTAATGCAATGTAATATTTATATTTTTCCATTTTCTATAAAGATAAATGGGGAAAACAATGTTTTATCTATAAATTTATAAACATTTACTAAATTATGAAATCATTTGAACCAACTATAGGGAAATCATTGTTATTTACCATTTTATCAAGTTTGAATCAATTGGCAATTAGCCGATGGTTTCCAACCGTTTCAATATATAATATAATAAAATAATAGTCTAAATAAATAAATGTATTTCTGTTGTGAATTCACAAGAACAAAGAAAATGTATAAATGCCCTTTCTTTTGTTTAGGTTTTATTACAATTCTAATCATCGCCTTTTAAAACAATAAACATTGCCGAAGTGTAAAGGGAGTTGAAAAAACGGTGTCATGGGAAAAATCGTCCTTTTGACTGTCCATCTTATTGTGTGCACATTTATTTATGTGAACCAAAGCCTCAATGTCGTACATATATTTCATTAAAATATTTAATTTCTCACGAGATTAAAGAATAGAAATGAACATAATGTTTAGCCATTGCCTGTTCCTTTTCGTAATTACCGCCTCGAAATTTATTTTTGGTGTTTTTTTTTTCTTTTTTACTAAGTGTATTTGCAGTCTTATTGTTTGAAATAAGAGTTTGTTTTAAGCTCAGTGGTTCTTGCTTTCAATACGACCCTCCGTCATTTTTTGCATTTAATCTTTGTTCAAAATTTTTCGTCTTGTACACAAGAACATACGGTAACTTTGATCTTACGAGAACCGTTGTTCCAACGTGATATGGCCGTAAGCCTGACCTAAACTGTTTAAGAATAAGCAAGCGAGCGGTGTAAGACAAGGATGCGTCTTCCCACCGGACTTATTCTACCTTTACATTGAGGCGATTTTGAGAGCATTAGAAGACCTACCAGTATTCGTCATTGGCGGCCACAATCTTAATTGCATAATTTGTAAGACAGAAGGCATGGTTGTTATTAAAAGAGACACGTCAACATTTCAAATTGGAGATATCCAAATAAAACAATTCAAAAGGGTGGGAATTGTTTTAACGGAGGACGATAAATATGACACTGAAATCCGAAGGCCAATAGGATAGCGAAAGATGCCTCCAAAACATAAGTAAAGTATGATGATATAGGAAAAATTCGTTAGAAAAAAAATGATAAAGGTATTGTACTTTTACGTAATATCAGTTCTGTATTATGGTGCCTGCTAGACAGTCGCATCATTACCAGAACGATACCATGGATCAAACATCTGAAAAAGGACGAAAAAAAAACACTTATACCATGAATGCTACCATGATGGTTACCATGAAGAGATGGATGAAATTTCTGAAGAGCATAATGAGAAAAGAGGGTTTGGAAAATTTGATACTCACATGACAGAATGAATTCAATAGGGAAATATGAAAAAAACGCATAACCTACCTAGCGGATCAGGGTATCGATGAGATAACAAAACGCAGGAAATAGTGGAGAGCCATAATCAGCAAAGGGACAAGGCACATACAAGAACAATAGTTTGATGATATGTAAGACTCATAAATATTTATATTTAACATTCAATATTATAAGTGAGTTTTGCTACACAGGAACGGATGCTGTGGAGAGCCATACTAGCCCACGTTCTGAAAGGACACGACACATTGAAAAAGAATAATCTGATGGCAGAAACGACTCATAAATATTTACTTTAAAATGGCAATATTATAAAGAAGATCTATTACAAAGGACAAAAGTTCTTTTTTTTTACAATGATGGTTACCCTAAAAAGCCCCAAGAGCCCCTCAAGGTGCAGAGTTACAGAATAAGAGGCTAACTTTATTCGGATATGTGTGGAAGACAACTGTTAATTGGACGTGAACAGGTTAAGAGTGTAGTAATTGGGAAAGCATCTTTTTGGGAGTCTGTTCCATAAGTCTGCGGTTTGTGGGATGATTCTGCTCAAGTAGAGATTACATCTCACCAATCGAATGAGGGTGGTTTGGCACAATATGCGTGGTGTGGCGGGTCTTAGCCGTAAAGGTTAGGACTAACTAAGGAATGTAATTCGTCTGAGGACGTTATATGGAAATAGGAATTGAGCAGCGAGTGGTTTGCGATGTTTCATCTGTGGGAATGAGATGAAAATTAACTCATCACCCAAAAAAGACGAAGAGACGCCCTTTGGTATCTATCGGGACTGGGAATTGATGTCCTTGCCCATAAATGGCAGCAATACTTCATTTTCTTCCTCTTGTAAATGTAGAGGATAGCAGGAGGAATAATGTATGTACTGAACGGGGACAGGGAACCAGACATTTTCCGGTATCTTTCGCGTTGGACCGCTTGTACGAGATTCACTTTAGGCTAAATAGGCGCTCAAGATACGTGGCCTACCTGAGAAAACATCCGTTCTTCGCGATAGGTGAAAATTCAGCGTCGGCTTGGCTACCGAGGTACTGAATATGACCAGCTAGGGACTTCAACGTGCTGTAATGTTATGTGGGGACCTACCTACAAATGGATTCTTCCACACCTATATAATATGGCTACCAACTCTGAGTAAAGGAGTTCACCAAATGAGAGTCACCGAGTAGTAGACACCGAGTGAATGAATGAGTGAGTCAAGACACCGGTGAGAGAAAGTACTCTCCAGTCCACATTTACCTTTGTACTACGTTTCCGAGAATATACTTTTTGTTATGGGGTCCACCCCTTTTTCATACAAGTGGAATCGACCAGTGTGTATTTGTACGGCTGCCGGTGAATGCCTGAGAGATCGAGCAAGACAGATAGTTCGAAGGGAGATACACTGATACAGTGATACGGTCATAGAGTGAGAGTGTGAGGTAACCGCTTTGTAGGAGTCACAGTTGCGAGCACGTAGACTCAGAAGGAAGTCATACCTCGATACTGAATTTCCCAGACTGTATATATATTATTATTATTGCTACTAACCGCATTTCTGGATCTACTAACCGTATTACCAATTGTATTATTGCGTCAATACATTTATTTGCTATATTTCATTCCTGCGTTTGTCATTCATTTGAGACTTGATTTTATCCCGGAATCCACAACACTATTTAAACTTATATCCGAGTCCGATTTTTTTTCTATGGTTCTACAACATAACATGTTAGCAAGCTTTTCCTTGCTAGATGAATTATGACTGAACAGAGTGTTCGATGCTCACTGGGTGCCCAAAAGTTTCGGCCTTGTGCCACATCTAAGCTACCCTTAGAAAATCATCTTGGGACACTTCGAAATGGTGTAATGGTTAGCAAGCTTGTCTCGCTAGATCAATTACGACTGACTAGCGAGTTTGATCCTCACTGGGTGCCCCTACTTTTAGCATTGTGCTACATCGAAGCTATGCTTCGAAAACCACTACTGAATTTTATCAGCTAGTTTTTCTCCCACTGAGCTGTTAAAGCTAAGTCAGAGGAGAGATCATTTGCCAATCAGAGGAAGTTGTGGAGAACCATAATCACCAATGTCTTGAAACGACACGCCGGATAGAAGATGAAAAGTCGCTGGCAATCTAGCTGATATTATGATATTGATAATATCTTTTAATTTTATTCGATTTAATATCTTGAAATGCGATAAACCATTGTCGGTGTTTATTAACTTTGGCCAGAGAAATGCTAATCAAAAATTAATTAGGGTGAAAACTGTCTCAGCTAATTAATAATATAACTTTTCAATATTTTCGAACCGATTACCGCAAAGGCTATATATTGCAATAAGTAAAAAGACGAGGAAACTGGAAGATTACGGGCCTTGAGAATACACACCAAGCAAAAAACCTCCTATATGAACAAGTGATTTCTTGTTTCTTGACCTGAACAATCATCAGTTGGCTCGTATTTTTAATCATCGGACAGGCTCTGGGAAATATTCAGAAATAAACAGTATTTTTTTTTTAATTTCCATTCTTTAACAAGACGAGTCGATTACTCACTTTAACTTGGCACACTGACAGCTTGCACAGAATCCTGCAGTCACGAAGAAGAGGGAAAATTAGATAGAAACTAAAGAGAAGGAGAGAAGGAAGAGCAGTAGAGGGATATGCGAGGGAGGAAGAAGATAAAGAGGAACAGGGTTGGTAAATAAGCGAGATAGAAATGAATAGAGAAATCGAAGATATGAGAAAGGAAAAACGAATAAAGAAACAATAGAGACAAAGAGATGGAAAGAAAAACGAACATTAATATTGGAATATATATCAAAGGTTACATAGCAGAAAAAAAGATAAATAGATAGATATAAAGAGAAAGTTGTAGTTCGCTAGATAGATAGATATGAATAGAATAGGATAGATAGATAGATAGATAGATAGATAGATAGATAGATAGATAGATAGATAGATATGAAGAGAAAGTTGTAGCTCGCTAGATAGATAGATATGAATAGAATAGGATAGATAGAAAGATAGATAGATAGATAGATATGAAGAGAAAGTTGTAGCTCGCTAGATAGATAGATATGAATAGGATAGATAGATAGATAGATATGAAGAGAAAGTTGTAGCTCGCTAGATAGATAGATATGAATAGGATAGATAGATAGATAGATAGATATGAATAGAAAGTTGTAGCTCGCTAGATAGATAGATATGAATAGAATAGGATAGATAGATAGATAGATAGAAACAGAATGTGATAGATAGATAGATAGATAGATAGATAGATAGATAGATATATAGATAGATAGATAGATATGAAGAGAAAGGTGTAGCTCGCTAGATAGATATGAATAAAATAAGATAGATATATAGATAGATAGAAATAGAATGTGATAGATAGATAGATAGATAGATAGATAGATAGATAGATATGAATAGAAAGTTGTAGCTCGCTAGATAGAGAGATATGAATAGAATAGGATAGATAGATAGATAGATAGATAGATAGATAGATTTGACGAGAAAGTTGTAGCTCGCTAGATAGATAGATAGATAATGAATAGAATAGATAGATACATATGAAGAGAAAGTTGTAGATCGCTAGATAGATATGAATAGATATGATGGATACATAGATAGATAGAAACAGAATGAGATAGATAGATAGATAGATAGATAGATAGAGATAGATAGATAGATAGATAGATAGATAGATACGAACAGACTGAGATAGATAGATACGAACAGACTGAGATAGATAGATAGATAGATAGATAGATAGATAGATAGATATGAACAGAATGTGATAGCTTGCCCAAAAGTTAGATATATAGATTTGAAGAAAGAAAGAAAGAATGAATGAATGAATGAAATAAAGAAAGAAAAAAAAAAAAGAAAGAAAGAAAAACAAAGATAACAGCGAAAAACGAAAGAGAAAAGCAGACGAGGAAGGGTCAAGAAAGATAAAGGAATATAAAAGAGAAACCGAAGCAAAAGATAAAGAGAACCTTAAAAAGGAAAAAAAAAAAGAAGGAGAGAAAAAGGGGAAAAGAAAAAGAAAAAGAAAAAGAAAAAGAAGGAGAGAAAAAGGGGAAAAGAAAAAGAAAAAGAAAAAAAAAGAAGGAGAAAAAAGGAAAAGAAAAAGAAAAAAAAAAAAGAAGGAGAGAAAAAGGGAAAAGAAAAGAAAAGAAAAAAAGAAGGAGAGAAAAGGAAAAAAAAAGAAAAAAAAAAAAAGAAGGAGAGAAAAGGGGAAAAGAAAAGAAAAAGAAAAAAAAAGAAGAGAAAAAAGGAAAAAGAAAAGAAAAGAAAAAAAAAGGAGAGAAAAGGGGAAAAGAAAAGAAAAGAAAAAAAAGAAGGAGAGAAAAGGGGAAAAGAAAAAAAAGAAGAAAAAAAGGAGAGAAAAAGGGGAAAAGAAAAGAAAAAAAAAAAAAAAGAAGGAGAGAAAAAGGAAAAGAAAAAGAAAAAAAAAAAGAAGGAGAGAAAAAGGGGAAAAGAAAAAGAAAAGAAAAAAAAAAAAGAAGGAGAAAAAAAGGGAAAAGAAAAAGAAAAAAAAAAGAAGGAGAGAAAAGGAAAAGAAAAAAGAAAAAAAAAAAAAGGAGAGAAAAAGGGAAAAGAAAAAAAAAAAAGAAAAAAAAAAAAGAAGGAGAGAAAAGGGAAAAGAAAAGAAAAAAAAAAAAAGAAGGAGAGAAAAGGGGAAAAGAAAAGAAAAAGAAAAAAAAAAAAGAAGGAGAAAAAAGGAAAAGAAAAAGAAAAAAAAAAAAAGGAGAGAAAAAGGAAAAGAAAAAGAAAAAAAGAAAAAAAAAAAAAGAAGGAGAGAAAAGAGGAAAAGAAAAGAAAAGGAAAAAAAAGAAGGAGAGAAAAAGGAAAAAAGAAAAGAAAAAAAAAAAAGAAGGAGAGAAAAAGGGGAAAAGAAAAAGAAAAAGAAAAAAAAAGAAGGAGAGAAAAAGGGGAAAAGAAAAAGAAAAGGAAAAAAAAGAAGGAGAGAAAAAGGGGAAAAGAAAAAGAAAAAAAAAAAAGAAGGAGAGAAAAGAGGAAAGAAAAAGAAAAAGAAAAAAAGAAGGAGAGAAAAAGGGTAAAAGAAAAAGAAAAAGAAAAAAAAAGAAGGAGAGAAAAAGGGTGAAAAGAAAAAGAAAAAGAAAAAAAATAAGGAGAGAAAAAGGTGAAAAGAAAAAGAAAAAAAAAAAAAAATAAGGAGAGAAAAGGGAAAAAAAAGAAAAAAAAAAAATAAGGAAAGAAAAAGGTGAAAAGAAAAAGAAAAAAAAAAAAAGAAGGAGAAAAAAGGAAAAAAGAAAAAGAAAAAAAAAAAAAAAAGGAGAAAAAAGGGAAAAAAAAAAGAAAAAAAAAAAAGAAGGAGAGAAAAGGGAAAGAAAAAGAAAAAAAAAAAAAGGAGAGAAAAGGGGAAAAGAAAAGAAAAAGAAAAAAAGGAGAGAAAAAGGGGAAAAGAAAAAAAAAAAAAAAAAAAAGGAGAGAAAAAGGGGAAAAGAAAAAGAAAAAGAAAAAAAAAGAAGGAGAGAAAAAGGGGAAAAGAAAAAGAAAAAGAAAAAAAACTTATCAGTTTAAAAGAGAGAAAGAAAGTAAGCGAAAATAATTAAAAACAACGTAAAACGAAAGAGAAAGAAAAGTAGACAAATGGAAAAACAAAGAGAAGGAGAGGAGAAAAAAAGGAAAAAGAAAAGGGAAGAGAATTGAAAGTGAAGGCGAATGAGATTATGGAGAAACAGAAAAGTTAAAAGAAAGTAACGGAGGAGAAGAGAAAGTCATGAAAAGTGAAGAGACGTAAAGAGAAACAGAGGACGAGAGAGAGAGAGAGAGAGAGAGACAGACAGAGAGAGAGAGAGAAAGAAAGGAAAAAGCGTAAAGAGCAAAAAGAATGAGGATGAAGAAGACGATCGTGCATAAAGATGAAACGAAGAAGGAAAAATGAACGAAAAAAATAAAAATTTAAAGACAATGAAAAAAAATAAATAAGGAGAAGCTATGGATGACTCGAAGTGACACAATTGTTTAATAAACGTAAGTGAGTAAGTGATATTCTTGAATATATATGGAAATTAAGAGGTAAGTAAAATGAGATAGAAAATCAGAAGAGGGGAAAAAAAGAAGAAAACGTAAAAGAAAAGCACCAAAGAAAGAAAAAAGAAATGAAAAAGAAAAAGAAAATCAAAAGTGAAGAAAAGTGAAAGAAAAAAAACAGGTAAAAAAAAGAAAAGGAAGAGATAGATAGATAGATAGATAGATAGATAGATAGATAGATATGGAGAGACTGGGAAAGAAAGAAAGAAAGAAAAGAAACCGGGATAGATAGATAGATAGATAGATAGATAGATAGATAGATAGATAGATAGATAGATAGAAATAGAGGCAGAAAAGAAAAAATGTTGACAAAAAAAAGAGAAACTATGCAAAACGATAGAAAAGAAAACAAGACAAGAAGAAAAATGAAATAAGAAAAGAAAGAGAAAGGCCAAGTAAAAACTGAAGTATGAAAAATGACAAAAAAAAAAGAAGAAACAGAGATCGTATGTCAATACTGATAATGGCTATCGCAGCCTATCTTACTACGCTGCACGGAGTATATTTTTTTCTGTGGATTCTTTCCGTCACTTTTTTTTGCCATCGTAGCGTGACATGATAATGAACAAATCGCGCTGCCTATACTTAAACATAAAAACAGAAATAGAATCAGAAATGGAAGAGAACAACTGCGTAATCTCGATAAATCTTACCGCCATTGAAACCTTCCCAACGTCTCATTTTCCGTGCGCAAAATTACAAGCGAAATCACTATCATTCATATAAGCAGTAATTCCTCCAAATGAGGCAAAATATCGCTTCATTTTATGCAAAAGCCGTCACAGGAAAGACTCGTTACCATATCCTATTTCATAACAACTAAGCTGATGTTGTGTCTCTGATAATTATATCCTAAGCGGGCGTATCTGACAGCCTTGAACTCCTGTTTATTTTTGCCACTTCCAGAAGATAACGGAAGAATGAATAAATACAAAGAAAATCATTTTTCCCCACACATTTATGTGAGTGTCCGGCGAAATTGAATTAATTTTGCACCGATGGCGCTGTGAAAGCTAAAATGGCAAGAAATTGTAACAGAATGAATGAAAGAAAGAAAAGAAAGAAAGAAAGAAAGAAAAGAAAGAAAATGAATGCCTATCAAAACGCAAAAAAAAAAAAAACAAGACAAGAAAGAGAAAGTAAAACTTTCATGAACATTCAAAGTAATATTTATGAAATGCCGGCTCAGCTAGCATTATTATCCATCGACGCCTGTCTCTCGAACGATCGACATATGTATTCATAAGTTATTTTCCAGCTATCAACAGAATACAGAACTGACCTATGTCTGGCATGGCACCCAAATAGGAGAAGGAAAATAAATTAGCGAGACAGTGTTACGCCAGAAATTTTTTTAAATCTTATTTTGTGTTTGTGCAGGACTTGAGAATCATCATGTAAAATCCAAGTAGTATATTTTCCGTTGCAGAGCAACGACTGAATACTTGAGTGACTGGCGAAACTATCTTAACCAATCTACAATATCTATTGGTGTTGTTTTTCATATCTATGATAACATTGTTCAGATGGAACGCGGCAAGTTTACGGAATCTGGAGAGATATTTACATACCGTCGATAGACGGAACAGATAAAATTGTTGTCATATATATATATATATATATATATAATATATATATATATATATTGGGTGAGAGAAAGCGACACCGAGGGATCAACCAGAAATTGTTTTAACTATGTAATATCATTTTATATATATATATATATATATATATGTGTGTGTGTGTGTGTGTGTGTGTGTGTGTGGGATAGGGAGAGGGAGAGGGAGAGAGAGTGTGTGTAATGAAATTATATAGTTAAAAGGGAACAATTTCTGGTTAATCCCTCGGTCTCGCTTTCTGTCATATATATATATATATATATATATATATATATATAACTAGTCGAGGAATCTAAATGAAATAATAATAATAAAAACAAAAAGAATATTAATATACAACCCAGTGTGTCTGAAGATTTTAAATTTTTTTAATATTTTTTATTGTTCAAAATATAATCCTGAATAATAGACACGGGACTGAAGCAAAAGCCGAGGACATAGCACCAACAGAAGCAATAAATACCGAAGTATTGGCTATGAATGGAGCAACCAACAAATTAGCCAGCTATGAATCACACCAGAAATATATTAGGATATGCCTGAAGGATCAACTAGTACCGACCAATTTCAGGATTGATTTGGAACCATCAATAACTAACCATAATGATGTGTTTCTAGCATCATGGTACCGTAAATTAGAAGAATTCTCCAGGGAACTCATGCAGGATACCATGCAGTTTTGCCAGGAAAGCATAACGGCAACAACAGCAGAAATTAACCTGCTCGATGAGAAAATAAAAAACAAACGGACACGGAAGAATATACCAACATAAAGAATGTCATAAAAGCTCACACAGACCAAACAGTGAGGGAACTACAAAAAACAAAAACTGAAAAACAAAGAAAATTAAAATGGAATATTTCCTCCAGACAGAGGAACAAAAGAGAAATGAAGCCAAACTCTGAAAAAAGTGAACGACCATTCCCCAAAAGAAAACAACAAAATACTGTAACTACACTGACCACCACACAACCAATGCAAACACAAAACAGACCAAATAAATACACCAACTGACAACCATCAGCACCACAACCAACAATAACAACACCGCCACCATCAACGATAGCTAGAACCTCAAAACAAGCACACACACAAAACAAATCACCAACTTACGCGGACATCCTTAGGGTGCCGTACAAACATACACAAACCAAAACACAGCAGCCCTTCTACAGAATGCATAACCCCATTAGACATCCCAGACCACCTAGATTAGCCCCTAGTAGACAGTCAACAACAAACACACTCAACCTTAAAAAAAACGGAATAAGCCCCCAACCAGGACACCTGGGTGGGGGTATAGCATCCCTAATAGGAGATATGATGCAAGCTTTCGGGCTTTTACAAAAGAACTTCGCCATGCTTGCAAATTCAAACTTGACCCATACGGGCGAGTTATAAATTTGAGTAACAATAAATTTTTACTCAACACATTCAGGTTATTAAATAAAGGACTAGGCTTTTGCCCTAGTCCCCCAAGGTTTGATAAAGACCCCTTGGCAAAGGACCTGAAATCCTTCTTCAGAAGAATACGGTTAAAAGCCCACTCTGGGGAAAATGATCATACACTTTCTATACTTGATACATTAAAAGAGAAGGACACTACCTACACCCCACAAAACACAGACATTACTATACAGACATTTGAAATAGCCGTAGCAAATGACATAAAGAAAACAATAGCACGTAAGCTGCCACGTGACAATATGACTGAAGGAGAACGTATAGCCCTCGATACACTGACACATAGAGATGACGTAATCATAACACAGGCTGACAAAGGGGGTGCGACAGTGATCTGGGGAATCGAAGAATACATTAAAGAGGCCAACAAACAGTTAGCCGACGGAGAAACCTATAAAAGCTTCCCTACAGATCCCCTCCCCGAATACCAAAAAGAATTAACTAGCTCACTAAACATAATGCTTCGCAACAATCTAATCGACAAGGAAACATGTACAACAGTTACACCCACAAACATTACACCTGTTCGTTTCTATCTCCTTCCTAAAATACACAAAAGCAACAATCCAGGAAGGCCGGTTATTTCATCGTTCAACTGCCATACGACAAAAATTTTCAAATACGTAGACCATTACATACAACCCCTAGCTAAGGAAGTAAAATCCTACATTAGAGACACAACAGATCTACTAAACAAAATTAATCACATACAAACACTTCCAGAGAATGCTATTCTAGTGACTATGGACGTAAGGTCACTCTATTCAAACATTAAACACATGGAAGGGATAACCGCCCTTCAGGAAGCACTTACTAAAAGAAGAAAACAAGACCCCACCCACAGCCATTATCATAAAACCCATGGACCATCTCCGTACATTGAATACTTTCAGCTTCAATGGTGTACACTACCTTCAAATAACTATCTACACTTTAAGTCTTCCCACCCTAAACACCTCAAAGAGAACCTTCCCTATTCACAAGCACTTAGATTCAGAAGGATATGTTCCAACAATGAAGAATTAAATAAACACATTGAAAATCTGGAGCATCAATTCACAACACGTGTCTATAAACAACACCTAATCAGGGAACAAATAAATAAAGCAATTTCCACACCTAGAGAAAACACCCTAATGTACAAGATTAAAAATAAATCTAGCCGCATCCCTCTAGTAACCACTTTCAATCCCACTTCGCCTCCACTATCACAAATAATCAAACGTCGCTGGGAAATACTACATCTCAAATCAGACCTAAAAAAGCTGTTTAAGGAACCGGGCCTTCTGGCATATAGTAGACCTAAGAACCTAAAAGAAATCATAGGTAGTAACCACATTTCAGGGGACAAGGTAATCCGTAATAAACTAAGAACAAAAACAACAGGATTTTCCCAACCATGTAACAACAAAAGAAGTTTATGCTGCAACCACATGAATTCATTCACTAGCTCAGTCACTAAATCTACTTTCAAAATCTACCATGATTCTAACTGTAGAAGCCATAACATAATTTACCGCGTAGATTGCACACTATGCCAGAAACAATATGTAGGAAAATCTGAATGGCCCTTTCACTACAGAATTAATAATAATCACAATCGAATTAAGTCGACTCCCCATGAAAGATTATTACCTGTAGAACAACATTTCCGCCTAGAAAAACACGATTTCAAAACCCATGCCAAATTCACTATAATTGAGAGAATAGAAAAGTTCAAAGCAGATAACATTAGAAAGATTTTAGAGTTTCATGCAAATAAGTGGATACAACGTTTAAAAACACACGATCCAGATAGACTAAACCATAAATTTAACAATATAGATAGTACTAGTATATAACTCTACAAATCAAAACCTACCCACATTTCTCACCCACACAAGACAGGCATGGTTACGGGGGTGTTGAGGCCTCACACTTATACACATGCCCACACGAACATACACACTTACACACATCATACTCACTCACTCCCTATATGATAACACACACCATACACTCTTACACATATCATACTCATTCCCTAAGAACCAAATAACACACGCACACACACACACTTAACAGAGACACATCCCCTCTCCAGGAACCAATAAAACTTTCAAACTGACCAGAGGAATTCAGAGAAGCATCAATCCATCGAGCTCTTATCTCAAATAACAAGAAACTGTTTGACCAACACAAGGAATGTTAAAAGATTCATGTTAAAAAGATAAAAAATTAAAAAGACAAATGAAAACTACAGACAAAAGTTCATTTTCTCCATCAAGACATTCATTTCTGTAGTTTACTGCTACCAGCAAGCAGAAATATTTCTTTTCCTGATGATCGCCATTTTGGCCGAAACTAGTCGAGGAATCTAAATGAAATAATAATAATAATGAAAACGAAAGGATATTAATCTACAACCCAGTGTGTCTGAAGATTTTAAATTTTTTTAATATTTTTTATTATTCAATATATATATATATATATATATATATATAATAATTATATATATATATATATATATATATATATATATATATATATATATATTTTATATTTTATATTATATATATATATATATATATATATATAAATATTTCATTTTATATATATAGATATATATATTTCATATATATATATATATATATATATATATATATATATATATATATATATATATATAAATATATAAAACAAAAGAATCATCTATCATTTGTATACATTGTAACCACGACTATAAGTTAAAGGACATTAAGCAACAGTCAGGAGGTCGGCAGAAGTAATGGGAAAATGGAGCCTTTATATCTCCAGGAAAGGCTAATATAGAAAAATATAGACGGTGTTCGCGTACCAAGCATAAGCGAACCAGTTTCACCAGGAGTGGGGAAGAGCGCCTCTCCGGGCAAGATCAAAATAAAGCCATAAACACTATTATACGCCTAATAAAATATATGGATGCATCAAATAGTGCTCAATGCCACAGTTACAGCCATCGGCATGATATCGTTTTTTCAATTTTTTAACCTGAAACACATATTAAGAGCTGCTGATATATATATATATATATATATATATATATATATATATATATATATATATATATATATATGAAGAAATATAATCTTAAGATGTGCTATATTTATAGGAGAAAGTGCTCAATATTAGAGATAGAGCATGTGTAAATATAAAAGTCAACACTTAGAGGCGACGGTTTGTTACATAGTAGATGCAATCGTCAAGCCACGATTGCTGTTCTATATATATATATATATATATATATATATATATATATATATATATATATATATATATATATATATATTTATTATATTATATATATATATATATATATTTATATTATATTTATATATATATATATATATATATATATATATATATATATAGACATTTTATGTTTATACATTCTTTTCATAGATACAAATATTTAAGTAAATGGTCTGTTTATAATAAACAGTATTAACAAAAAAAACAGTAAAATCGACCTTGCTAAACGAACACTCCTCTGTGTCAGAATCCGGTAAAAGCATGTCAGGCTATATGAAAATTCCTTATAAGATACTGGTTTGATTCCTGTCGAAGGAGGCATATATCTTCTATGAAAATTTCTCGGACATTCAGACCAGTAAATGTTGTTAATACTGTTTATTATAAACAAGGAATTTACTTAAATATTTGTATCTATAAAAAGAATGTATAAACATAAAAATGTCTTAAAATAATTGTCGGACTTTGTCCATATATATATATATATATATATATATATATATATATATATATATATATATATATATATATATATATATATATAGCATATATCTCTTATATCCAGAGAAGATGAGAATGAATATAGTACAATTCCAACGTTTGTCAAATTTAATTTAAAAGACGGTTCAATACCAAGTAGAACAATATTCTTTATTTTAGGATATTACATTTTATGAGATTACCACCAAATCTTTCTTAGGAAATGACATCGACTAATTTACAGTATACATTCATTCACATCCGCTTCCTGTTTGACGTCTGTTATTTTCATTGATTTCAAACTTACCCATTTATACCAATTTCATTACGCATTGCTTCAGTTCTCCAGCATCGTTTTGGACCATTTGAAAGAGGCGTTTTCTCGGTTTTAAACGGCTTTCACCTGGGCGCTGTATCTAAGGCAACGTTCAGTTGTGTGTTTACTCCCGCAATGGCGAATCTTCAACAAAAGGCGTCCCGTGGTCTGGACTTCGCAAAAACAAATACGTTTGTCACGGTGCAGCGTGCTTTTCAAAGGCAAATCGACATTAATCCGCCATCTTCTGGGAAAATTCGAAGGTGATTTAAACAGTTTCAGAAGAATGGTTGTCTGTGTAAAGTCCAGGACGACTATGATTTTCGTAGGAACAAGTGGTGAGAATCCGGGCTGTGTTTGAGTGGAATCCACAGAGGACCACAATTCGAGCTAGCCGTTAGCGTGCGAGCTCTCAATCCATTATATGGCCTGTGCTTAGAAGGCGTCTACATTAGAAACTTTACATACTACGCCTCGTTCAGACACTTACCAAGACATTGCGATCTTGCTCTTTGTGCTTGGCCTGCAGGATTCCCAGACCTCACCGTGTGTGATTTTCTTTTTCTTGTGGGGATACGTAAAAGACCGCGTTTACTTACCACCGCTACCCACT